TCTGAGATAGCTGGCCTATATCTACTGATCGTTTTTGTATACAATGTAAGAGCTTAAAATATCAAGTCCTAATCCACTAGCCAGGGCTTAAAGGTTTCTTGCCACTGCAAGCTTGGAGGGTCCGCGGTACACTCATCAGTGGTTAATTTCTACTTGCCAAGGATGAATTTTCACTTGCCAGTGGCTACTGCACATTTTGTACCCTGAATATAATTATATATAGATATATATATTAAAAATATAAGAATGATAACACAACACACAAACAACATATCTTTATATACATCATATTTCGGTTAATTCACATTTTAATTTACTTATTTCTGTCAATTTGCCAAACAGCAAAAGTCACATCTGTGTAAGTTCCTTTGGCATGCTGGAAAACGGCCTTAGCTAAATGATGATGGTGGGGGGTAACTAAATCATGCAGCAGTAGTCTTTGGCCTGTCATGCATTATCATTATTTACTATCGTTCTGCTCAATGAGCACACAGGGGGCACATCCAGCCATTATTAATTTGTATAGGCTGACCCAATACTGGAATGCTGTAATTATAAATCAAAGTAGAACAGTAACATATCATGACTTGAATAATGAAAACAGCATAAAAATAAAATAATATCCCAAAGTACAAAAATAGGGATAAAGTATAAATAAAATGAAAGACAGTTGTTTAGTTCTGCAAGGCATTTTAACTGGGAATGTCACAATACGGTTAGCTGTTACTACAATAAAGTACACATATTTGTATTCAGTGATGTCTCACGAGTAAAACAGTACCCCCTATGTACAGGTTTTATGGTGTTTTGGAAAGTTACACGGTCAAATATAGCACATTCCATTTTTCAGTTTATACACAATGAAATTTCCCAGATTGGTTATGTTGCCTTTGAGAGCGTATGGTAGCCCAGGAATGAAAATTACCCCCGTGATGGCATACCATTTGCAAAAGTAGACAATACAAAGTATTACAAATGGGGTATGTCCAGTCTTTTTTAGTAGCCACTTAGTCACAAACACTGACCAAAGTTAGCATTAATATTTGTTGTGTGTGAAAAATGCAAAAAACTAAATTGAACACAAATTTTGGCCAGTGTTTGTGACTAAGTAGCTACTAAAAAAGACTGGAAATACCCTGTTTGCAATACGTTGGGTTGTTTTCTTTTGTAAATGGTATGCCATCATGGGGGTAATTTTAATTCCTGGGCTACCATACGGTCTCAAAGGCAACATAAGCAATCTGGCAATTTTCAATGTGAAAAAAGGAATTTCAAGCCTTGTATTACTGGTACTGTTATACTCTGGAAACTTCACTGAACACAACTATTAGTGTTTAAAAATAGTAAAACGTATCACAACAATTATATTGTCAGTGAAAGTACAGCGAAGCCTTCCGAGTAAAACAGTACACCCCATGTACAGGTTTTATGGTGTCCTGGAAAGTTACAGGGTTAAATATAGGGCTTGCAAGCCAAATTCTCTAGACTTTCTACCTGGGTTGTCGGGCAGGTCCCTCAGATTGTAATTAATAAAATGACTTAATTATGTAAAAGTATGATATAAATATATTTGTAGAATTTAAATATATATGTATATATCTAATTTTTAAAATTATTTTTATTTATATATGGCTATATATAGAGATATATATAGATACATATATGTATTTATAACATCATTCTAAATGTATTAATTAAAACTGGTATATCATTTTTTTAAATTAATTTTTTATTATTATTTGTATTTAATTTTTTTCAATTTATTTATTGATATATATATTAATATTAATGAATTAATTAATTAATACACTTTTATTAATGATGTATGTATGTGTATATAGAAGTACTTAGATTATATATATATATATATATATATATATATATGATCTAAGTACTTTTTATTTCATTTAAAAACTGTTTAATAACTTTTACTAACTTTTAAAAACTTTTTTCAGGCATGAAAGTTCAGGCAGGCCCCCTGCAGGCACTGCATAAGCCGGCTATTCTGACCATGTGATCTCGAGGACCCAGCGATCACATGGACGGTGGGGGAAGTGGGGGTTGGACAGAACAGGCTGAGGGGGTCTGCCTGAGCTCCCAGTCACCCAGGCAGACCCCAGGATCGTGACCGCTGGTGTGGGATCGGCGGGGACCCGGTAAGTGCCCTGGACAGCCCCAGAAAGGATCCTTCAGTGGTTAAAAACAAAATGCAAAATAGTTTACAGCAGAAATTCCAATTCTATTTGTTTTGTCTCCTTGTGGCTTTTCTCTATCTATCTATCTATCTATCTATCTATCTATCTATCTATCTATCTATCTATCTATCTATCTATCTATCTATCTATCTCTCTATCTAATCTATCTATCTATCTATCTATCTATCTATCTATCTATCTAATCTATCTATCTATCTATCTCTCTCTCTATCTATCTATCTATCTATCTATTTAGTCTATCTATCTGTCGATCTACTTCCCTCTATTCTCAAATGTTCACCCATTCCCTACATGATATATCCTCTCCCCCTTGTGGCACTTTTTACTTTTGCCTTAATTTTCATGACCAACTTTCCCTTGATTCTCTTTTCCATGTCCTCTTTGTCCCTTTTGGGATGTCCATTTATTTGGATGACATTTTCTTGTCCTCTGTTCTCTTACTGTCTTCTGTCTTTCGAGTCTTCTGTCTACAGGAACTGCTGCATGTTTGCTGATGCCATATGTGGAATCCCTGCAAGCCATGACACTGTGCAGCTTCCACACTGGCATCAGCATACTGTACAGTTCGCAAAGCATTTCCTGCCACTGGATCACTTGTACTTAATAATGACAAATAATACAGAGGTTTAAAGGAAAATGTGTCGTAGGCTGTCGTAGCCATGCATTATCTATTCTTCACTTTATAAAAAATGTAATTTACAGCTTTTTGTCATTATCTGTAACTGCCATTTATCAGGATATTATAATTAAGTAGACTTACATTTTAGTTGCTCAGTTAGGTATTCAATTTACAATCTAGTGTTCCTTGCGCAGAGTAAAAAACACTTACGCATTTCACCTTCAAAGTATGCAGTTGAAGGTGAAATGTGTTAGTGTTTGTTTTTTTTACTCATTGTACTATTTTATTTATTTCTACATTTTAGTCTGTTAAATAAAGTTGTTTACCTCTCCACTTATTTTATTATTGTATATTATCAAGAGTGTTTACTATATTTTGATTTCTGTTTTTATTTACATAATATGCTATGAGACTGTCTAGCAGCCTAAAAGACCTTTGAGTGGGTAGTATATCACCTTATGTTGCTTTCTGAAACATGGTTGAAGGCCTCATGCACTGAGCACTTTATTAAAAGAAGAAACTATGTGCATCATAGTAGAGCTACTTTAAGCTCCACACTCTGTAAGTACATTTCTTATTTATTTATTTTTTTTACTCACCTGTACTGGACATACTGCACTATATTTTGTTGTACTCTTTTTTATATATTCACCTGCTTCTGATAACACATGAAAGGTGCTACTCCCTCATCCCAACACACATGTTTTCTATCAGGCTGGAACAGAGAGACTCTGGTTTGGATGCTTGAGCTGCCTATCTATTTCAACTGTATGCGCTAGAAAGCTAGTACCTATACATTCATAATATGTCCAACTGTGTCTCTGTTTGATGCTGTGTGTGCGTTCGTCTGTCTGTGTGGCATGTGTGTCTGACAGCAGGAATCTGTGTGTGTTTCTAACATGTATCAGTGTATGTGACACTATGTGTGCATGACATTGTGTATTTATGTCTGGCAATGTGTATGTGTGCATTCTGAAAGATTGTGTGTATATCTACGTGTGGCATGGAGTGTGTGTATCTAGTTGAGAAAGCCTGGCCAACAGGGCTCAGGGCTGAGATTTCTTACGACAGCACTGATCATCAATCATCTTTTTTCCAATCAATCTACTTTTGTTTTGAAGCCTCAGACGGAACTCTGATTAACAAATTAAATTGAGCAGTTTTGTGCCTTGTGTGTTATGTTTGTTTTGTGATTCGTCATTATAGTGTTTCATAGTTATGCACTTCTGAAGAATTGCCCATTTTTCCAAATCTCAGACAAATTGCTATTTATTTGAAATGAAACACACATTTCTAATAGTAAAGCAATTATAAATATTTTATATTTTTATCCTGATTATATTGAGTAGGTCACAGAAGACTTTTCGGGAGGAAGTTTCAAGCTTGGTTTGTGTTCCTTTTTACTGTCTGTAAACCTGAACTCCTATTGTCTTGCCTATAATCTTTTTATTATCTATAACTCAAACAAATGTAACTTTTGTTATGTAGAGATCAACTTGTAAATGGACTGCATTTGCAAACTGCAGTTGAATTGTGGACACATTAAAATCTCATGTGTTTGAACCTGGAGAAATGTGGGTTATGTTGTCATGGGTGATGCATACTGAGAGCCATACGACATCATGACTTTGCCCATACTCTGATTTCCATGGTTGTGTTGAACCAAGATGAGCAATTGGTAAGATGTGGTCCTGGTGAATCACTTGTTTCAACTGCTGAACACTGGTGCAACGCGACATTGTGTGTGTGTGTGTGTGTGTGTGTAAATGACTGAAAGTTATGTGGTGGTGAGTGGGTCAGTGAATTAGGGGTAAGTTACAGAGTGGGTGTAAATGAGTGGTTGGGGGTTTGTGACAGTGTGGATGGGTGTAAATGATAGTGAACCGGGCAATGTAGGGGCGAGCGGGTCTGAGAAGTTGGGTTAAAAGACAGGGTGGATTTAAATAAATAGGGGCTGGTGTGGAAGGTGAGTGGGGTATTAGGTGTGAATGGGTAACAGGGTAAGTGAGTGGTGGGTTAGGCTTGGGTGACAGTATGGATGAGTGTAAATGAGTGGTGGCTGAAGTGAGGGGTTAGGTGTGAATGATATGGTTGGTTGGTATAAATGAGTGGTGTTTAGGTAGGGTAAGTTGGATGTTCAGTTTGAATAAATCACAGGTTGTGTGGGGGTAAATGAGTGGGTGCTGAGTTAGGGTAGCTTGGCTTAGGTGATGGCAAGTGATTGGTTAATTGTAAATTAGTGAAAGAAGCAGTGGAGGAATCTCGGTTAAAGTGAACTTGTCGTGACAAGTCCACTTTAAGGCAATTATTGTCAAACTATAATTACTGTGGTTTATGTTGTGGTGGAGTTCTGTAATGCAAGCATGCACAGAAAACATTCAAAGCTCGTGTAAAAGATAGACCGTAGATCAGGAATAGAAGACACATGATTTTCAACTCAAAGGTCCGTTTAACATGTCTATGACTGTGGTTTTGCAACAGTACAAACAAAATTGAACCGATCTAAATGATTAAGTTAGACTACATGATTTAAGGTTGTGTTTTGTTCTCAACATGGTCTCTCAACTGTCTTATTGATGTGTTTGATATAAATATTTATGTTGTATCATTTAACTTATGTAAGTATATGGTGAGATCATGTTCCCTATGGGCATGAATGATGCATACTGATCATTTGACAATGTTGCTCATTGTATACTACAGTTGTGTACTACATTATTGTGTTTCTAATCTTCAAATCAGCCCACTTTCTCCATATCCCAAGGGTATACAGTCCCCACTGGCTTTTAATGCATTGTGGTTGAAATTCTGAGGCAAATTTGTTTAACAAGACTTTTCATGCGATTAGTTATGGTCTGCTACACATTTATATGCCTGCATTATACATTTGGTCAAGGCAGCAGCTGTGAACTGGAGAAAGTGTGCTACATTTTCTTAATGCCTTTCATCAAATGACAACCATCTGTGAAGGTCTTACTTAGAGCAACCAAAGATATAAAACACGTGAATAATTTTGCCACCGGGTACAATCTGATTCAGGAGAAGGGACGTTCACATTTCCTGGCAAAATCCAAGCGGTGATCAATGCAGATGTCCTTGCTCTGTATAATGCGACCTGTAAAACACATTCTGTTCTGTAATGAGGTTGAAAGTGCACGGTCCCTGGATGGCAATATGGAATTTCTTGTTACATTTTGCAGAGTTGCATAATATGATTACATACTTCTTTACAAAAGAGAGGAGACAAGTATATGTAGAATTATAGTTAGCCTTTGGTTTCAACTGATAGTTTACACAAATGATATCTTGGTGAAGGATTGTAATATCCCCTTTTAGTGCCTGAAAAGTTGAAATATATAAATGAGCCTCTTCTGGAGGATTATAAGAAGCTATAAGGAAGTATAGACCAAAGAGACAAGGACAGAAATATTATTACCAGTCCTTAGAGTGGCTGGGCTTAATCAGGGTATAAATAAAGCAGACGTGGATACATAGTAAGACTTGGTTATGTAGGATATCGCAGATAGTAACATTAGACTTAGCAGGACAAGCAAAACCAGAAATCTGCATTATTGAGAAACAAGGCCAAGGTCATAACTAAAATACTATGAAAGGGAAAGGAAAGAAACCATAAAAAAGACACCTGAGCTGAGTAGACACTTACATTTGGACAGAGACATATCTACTGAAGATAGCTCCTATGGCAAACACTGAATATATCTAATATTGCGCCCCCTCATGGCCCCTGCCCAAACATCTAACACTCATCTTTTAGATAACTTTACCATAAAATCATCTAAAAAATTCAAGCTGTATGTAATGTGTGTGGTGTATGCTGGCTATATTTGATGTGTGTGTGGTGGCTATATGTAAGGTGTAGTCGTGCTCTGTGTAGCCCCCTTCTGATTGGCTTTCTTCAAGGAAGGGGGCTATGATCCCTGGTAATCCAGCAGGGGTTAGGTCTGCCTGGTGGTCTATCTAGGGTCCTTAGTCACTAATGATCCAGCGGGTGAGCATGAGGTTTGCACCACAGGTGGAAATAGACCTCAGCCATCTTTCCTGCACAGTTTGGCACACAGTGAGTCAGAGTGCAAACTGGGACCCTCTGGCTGCTACCATAGGTGCACACCCCATGCTGCCATCTCTGATTCCCCTCAACAAGACAGCCCTCCACTTACCCATAGCAGGGCTAAAAAAAATAAAGTGCCTACCTGGCCACTCTTCAGTGGCGCCAGAGCCAGTTTAAGGTTGCAGAGGTCCTAAGAAGGGTGCCAGATTGTGGCCTCCTCCTAGAGGAGGTCCTCCTGGGACCTGTGTCTGTGAGTGATGTGTGTGAGATAGAGTGTGTGTGTAGTGGCTGAGTGTTGTGTGTTGAGGAGGCTAAGAGTGTGTCTGTGTGTCTAGCATTATATACCCGTGTTTGTGCCTTAGAGTGTAAGTGTGTGTGTGTGCATTTTTGACTGAGTGTGTGCGTGTTTCTGACACTGTGTACCTGTGTATTTGCCTGAGCATCATTGTGTGTAAATGTGTGTCTCTATTTCAGGGCTCATGCCTATGTCTGTGTCTATGAGTATATGTGTGTGTGGTAGTTGTTTGAGCTGTTTTGTTTGTAAAGGAAGCTGCTTGTGGTTTGTGTGTGTTGTATTTATGGTCAGGCTGTTTCATGTGTTGGAGGAAGTGACAGCTTTTGGAGGTGAGTGTGACATGGTAAGGGGGGTTTAGTATAAAGAGTTGGAGGTGAGTGTTACAAATTTAGGGGGTGAGTTTGACACCCCATAAATTTGGTGGGCTCCCTGGTGGTCTGGTGGGCTTCTAGAGCAGGCTTAGGACTCACACTCCTGTGCTATAGGAGAGCTTGACCTCAGGGAATATGAAAAAGCTGCCCAGTATCTGTCATGAGTACCTCCCTTGAGCTCTGTTCTACCAAAGGTTTAAGATGGGATTAACCAATAGATTGCACATGCTGGTTGGCAATCTGTTGCACTCTCAGCTGGGCATGTGCAGATTGCTGACCCCGCTCCACAACTGGACATGCGCTAGTGCCCCAGGAAAGCTGAAAAAAACTGAGCACTGTAACTACTACAGCACACTGTAGTGGTTATGGTGCAATGAGTGCTTTGGCAATCCAACATGAATTCAGCTGGTCACCACCTCCTGTATCACTAGAAGTTCTCTGAACAGGATGACCCTCATGTACTTCAGGGCTAAGATTAGTGGAGTTAACAAACTTTGCAGAAGCTTCTAGCATCAAAGGAGGAGTCAGATTCCAGTTGCCAAACTTTTTGCACTATAACCACTACAGGGTGCAGTAGTTTGCATAGCTGTGATGGAGGCTTCTGTGCCGTGGACTTTGAAGACCAGCCTCCTGCCCACATCCTATAGGACTGGTCCCAAGATCCCCTGTAAAGGCATATTGTCACCGTGGAGAGGAGTATGGGGTCCCTGGATAGGTTTTGTGCTCCCCATCCAGACTTGGGATCCAGACTTCTTGGGATTGCCTGAACTCATTTTAAACATTAAGCGTCTGACTGGGAGGCACCCTAAAACACTGTGAAACTGTTCCTCGGATCTGGACTGTGCCAAGATCTGAACAATCTTCATACTGGTAGCACTCGGCCTCCCGCTCTCCAAATAGAGCGCTATTTAAAAGGTAGGTCGAGGAGGCAACAAGACAGTGGAAAATACCTGGGGCTTGAAAGTGCTGCCCTCCTCAGATATCTGGGATCCCCTTTTGGGAGACCAGGAATAAGCCGTTGCATAACCTGGTAACATTTTAACACACTGTAACTCAGACGCAGATCCTATAACGGGTGCTCCTATGAACAGCTAGGGTGCTTGGTGATTAACTATCTAGGGATATATATTGTGTGGGGGAATAGCACAGGGAAAAGGGGTTCTAGTGTACTGTGTGCATGTAAAACTGTGGGGGCACAGCAAGGAGCTGATTGTGTTAGCTGGGGATAATGTAATTAAATCCTTAGACAGAGTGGCATCGGTGAGGGACAATTGTAATGTGCATTGCTTAGTATGGAGGACCCCATGCAGGTACGGTCAACAAGGATGTGTATTAATAGCTGTGTTTAGTACAATAAAAATAATTCTACTCGCTGCATTCAGACTTGTCTAATGTGTGGGGGAATGCAATAGTCTCTGCTTTACAGGAGAGCTATAATCACTGCAGCCTGTTCCAGTGGAAGAGGTACTCAGAGACCCCAGTCAAACTTCAGTGACTTGCTTCCCCTGGTATAAGCGAGGTAGATGATCTGTTAAAAGTACTCAGTCAGAGTACGGGAGTTTCCATACATATAGTGTTAGCTGTAGGCAGGGCTGGTGCAAGGACTTTTGGGTACACAGGCGAATATGATTTTGGCATCCCCCCAAAAAAGCATCTTCACCTTTGTGTGCCTCTTAACCCGTCTTTTGTTTCATATCCCCTTTTTTAAATGTCTTACCCACTTTAGTGTATCTTATCCTGTATTTTTCCCCATTGTGTGTCTTACATCTCCCTTGTTTCTCTCTTACAACCCCCCTTTGTGTGTATTACTCCCCCTAGCCCCTTTGTGTGTCTCCTTCTCTCCCAGCCCCTTTGTGTCTTTTACTATTTCCAGCTAATTAGTGTGTTTCTCTTTCACCCCCAGCCTGTCTATCTCCCCTTCAGCCCCTCTGTGTCTCTTTTTCCTTTTCTCCAGCCCCTCTGTGTCTCTTTCACCTTGAGTCACTTTGTATTTATAACCCCCCTGGGGCCCTCCTGTGTTGCTTTCACCCCCAACCTCTCTGCGCATCTTTCTCACCCCCAGGCCCATCTGTGTGTCTTTCTCCCCCCTACATGTCCCTCAGTGTTCCTCTCCCCTCCATGTCTATTACTGCTCCTCGCCCCTCCACGTCCCATAATGGTCCTCTTCCTGTCCCTTAGTGTCCCTCTCCCTTCCCTGTCTTAGTGTTCCTCTCTCCTCAATTCCCTGTCCCTTAGTGTTCCTCTCCCCTCCATCTCCTGTCCATTAGTGTTCTTCTTCCCTCCCTCCCTCCCCTGTCCCTTAGTTTTCCTCTTCCCTTCCTCCCCTGTCCATTAGTGTTCCTGTACCCCCCTTACCTCTCTCTAAGTCCTCCCCCTTAGTGTTCTTTTTTCCCTTCCCTCCCCTGTCACTTAGTGTTCCTCTTACTCCCTTAACTGTCTCTTAGTGCCCCTGATGTTCCTCCCTCCTCTTATTGTTTCTCCCCCCTCTCTTTTAGTGGCCCCCCTACCCCTGTGTTCCTTTTCCCTTCCCTCCCCTGTACCTTAGTGCCCCACCCTAATGTTCCTCTCTCTTACCCCCAGTGTTCTTCTCCCTTCCCTCTCTTTAAGTGGTCGCCTCCCCATCCCCTATCCCTTAGTGTT